GTGTACATAAGGAGCTCTGGTAGTAGTGGTTACGAATCGGGCAGCTAACCTCAAGGTTGGCAGTTCAAAACTACCAGCAGTTCCATGGGAGAAAGATGAGTCTTTCTGCTCCTGTAAAGATTTACAGCCTCAGAAACCCTGTGCAGGGTCACTATGAGTCGGAACCGACTCACGGTACTTAACAACAACAACAGTGGGAAGGACTCCTGGTGTGGCGCTGTAGGATCAGCACTAGGCTGCAAACCACAAGATCGGCAGTTCAAATCCCATAAGCTGTTCCTCAGAAATGACTCGAAGGCATTTAAAATAAATACATAAGTATATATGTATGTATATGTGTATAAGGAGTATAGTGGTTACGAATAGGACTGCGAACCTCAAGGTCAGCAGTTCGAAACTACCAGCCGTTCCGCGGGAGAAAGATGAGGTTTCTGCTCCCGTAAAGATTTACAGCCTCGGAAACCCTGTGCAGAGTTGCTATGAGTAGGAACTGATTCCACGGCACTTAACAACAATAACAAGATGTATGTGTATATATATGTATATATTATTGTTGTTAAGTCAAGTCAGTTTCGACCCATAGCAACCCTGTATAGGGTTTCCGAGGAGCAGCTGATGAGCTTGAACCGTCAGCCTTGCAGTTCAAATGGCTTTGCAGTCTGGTGCATTAACCCACAGAGCCACATATATGTATATGGTTTTGTTGTTTAGTGCTGTCGAATAGATTCTGATTCATTGACACCCTATATAGAGTTATAGGGTTTCTGAGAAGCAGCTGGTGAGTTGGAAGCGCGAACCTTGAGGTTCAGTGCTTATCCTATGGCACCACACCAGGACTCTAGATAGATAGATAGATAGATAGATAGATAGATAGATAGATAGATAGATAGATAGATAGATAAAATGTGTGTGTATATTGTGTGTTGTTAATCCAATTTCAACTCACAGTGACACTGTAAAACCTAGGATTTCCTAGGGTGTGGTGCTGTAAAATAAACACTAGACTTCTAAGTGCAAGGTCAGAGATTCAAACCTAACAGCTGCTCATCCGAAACCTGTACAGGGTCCCGATCAGTAAGAACCAACTCCAGGACATTTAAGAACAACAGTAAATCTTTCTGGAAAAGAACCCTAGTGTTGTTGTTGTTAAGTGCCGTTCAGTGGATTCCGACCCATAGCGACCCTGTATAGGGTTTCCAAGAAGCAGCTGGTGAGTTTGAACCGCCAACTTTACAGTTCAAACGGCTGGCCTAGGAAACTATGGGCCAGTTCTACTCTGTCCTATCTGGTGCTGTGCGTCAGAATTGACTCAAAGGCGAAAGGTTGATAGTTACGCGAGTAGACAGCTTGGTCTTTTCTCTGGAGGAGTAGCTGGTGGATTGGAACCATTTTCTCCACTGTGGCGCTGTAGGGTAAGCAGTCAACCGCAAGGTCGGTTTGAACTGCAAGGTTGGCAGTTCAAATTCACCAGCCGCTCCTCAGAAATCTTGTACAGAGTCGCAATGAGTTGGACCCGACTTGATGGCACTTAACAACAAAAAAAAATTCTTTATGTCTCCTCTGTGGCTGTATTGCATACACTTTATCTTCTAAGAAAAGTCCTCTTACTCTTGATCCAAGTATGGCAGAATTTGAACTTTTGGAGTTCAATGATAAAATGAGATGGATCTAAATTCTCTGTAACTCAAAAATGGCTAAGTTGTTTTTTGTTTTGTTTTTTAAATCTCCATTCTTCCCCCCTACCCCCACCCCCGCTATACACAGTGCATGTCTGGCTCCCTCCTACCTGAACAGGAAGAAGTTGGTGGCCAGCCTTTGGTCAAGTCAAGAGCATAAGTGCATGTTCCTCAACTTGGTAATTTAATTGACCCCCGCCACTTTGGCCTGAATTCATTCCAGCCAAAGACATTCAGTGGAGTCTTGGCCTGGTACCTGGAAAAGCTGTCTAGACCTGGTGATCGAGCACCTGGCTGTCCTTGTGCATACCGCTGCCCCAGAGTCTGGGAATGCAATTCCAGGCGTGTCAATCCTGGCCGAGACCCTCCTGAAAGCAGCCTCAGTGGAAGAGCCCAGATGGGGAAGTCTCATCTAATCACAGTTGCCAATGGGAGCAAGCCTAATCTGCTCTGTTTCGCTGCTGCTTAGTGCCAGATCGCCTTCAAACCTACAAAAAAATAAAATAAAGCTCAGCCCTGCACACTCTCTCCAGAGTCCGTGCTGCTTGCCCTAACCCTCCTCTATCAGGAAAGGAAGCAAATCTTCTCTGGGATTTGAACAAAGTGTTGAGAGGACGGTTAATATTTGGCTTGTATTGAGAGAAAAGAAAGCAAGTGTGGCTTGCGCGTGTTTGTATTTGTGTGTGTGAGAGGCAGTAGCAGAGTAGAGTTGCTCTGCAGCGTGAAATAAGCAAGGAAATAGAATAGGAAAAGGCCGGTGCCCCAGTTTACCTCGGGCCTCAGAGAGCAGTTCACACCGTAATTCCCTTTCCCAAGGCTACAGATTTCCACAAACAATGACATCACTCTGGCATTGCTAGCTCGCTTAGAACTGGGGGGATTTTCCTGGACGCGCGCCTGGCGCGAGCAGAAAGGTGGAGACACTCTCCAGGGCGTTGAAAGGGGCGGGGGTGCGGACTGGGCGCTGGGCGCCCCCAACAGGCAGAGGCCGGCGGGCCTGGTCGGGGGCGGACTGGGGCGGGGCCGGTGTGAACCGGGGCGGGGCCCGCCTCTTGCCCGGCTTTCATTGGCCGCCGCCGGATGCACGTCACCCGGGATGGTGCTCTCCTCCAGCCCCTGTGGAATAGGAGCTGAGGAGGAGCTGAAAAATGCAGATTTAGCATCAAATACAGACACACACTGGCTCTTTCTCTCAGATACACACAGCTCTCCACATTCGTATCCCTGCCAGCAAGCCGGGCCGCCTGACCACACGGCTTCCCCGCCAGCCAGGTGCTGGAGAACACTTTGATTTGAAGCTTTCCAAGCCCTTAGTCAGTCTTTTTCCCTATATAAAGACTTAAATATATATATATATACCTATAATTTTTTTTTTTTCACTTTCCCTCCGGATCTCCTCCTCTGTCAGCCTGCGCGCCTCCTAGCCCCACTTTTCATTCCCAAAGAAAATGCAGGGTGGCTGTGTCTCCCAGTGGAGGAAGGTGGCCGCTGGGCTCCTCTTCTGTGTCATGGTTTTTGCATCTGCTGAAAGACCGGTGTTCACGAATCATTTTCTCGTGGAGTTGCATAAAGGGGGAGAAGAAGAAGCTCGCCAAGTAGCTACAGAACACGGCTTTGGAGTCCGAAAGGTAAGGTCTCCCTTGCATTTCGTATGTTTTTCCAAAAACGGGGGCAACCCTGCGCAATCTCATTGCAGATTTGCAAGTTTTCTCTCTTTCTTGTGCGATGCAGATATTCTGCCATCGCCTCTTTAACACGACATAGCCTCCGGTGATCTTTCACGGGTTATGTAATTAAAATGTCCTTCAGATTGTACTCGTAAGGTCATAAAAATTATTTATTGCTCTTCGGTTTAGTAGCGAAAATTGGGTGACACCTTTCAAATTCTGTTGTGCGCCCGGACTGCTGTCCGAGGTACCAAGTTCTTCAAGATGCCTGGAGATGGAGGGATAAAGCGCTAAATCGAGTGGCTTGGCGTTGACTGCTTTATCAGAGATGTCTCCCCCACCCCCATACCACGGAGAAAGTAGTTTTCACAGGACTAGGCAAACAGCCTGGGCACTGCAATTCACCTCAGTACTTCTCGGACCCCGTGCCTGGAGGACTTCCCTCCCAATGACTTCAGTGCCTGCTCTTTTCCAGGGACAACAGCTCCCTGGCTGGCTCTAGGAGACTTGGAGACTAAAACAGATCTCTCTCCAAAATCTGGGCGGAACTTCGGCGCCCTCGACCCCGCACGCCCACCCCGGAGCTCACTCCTGGTTGGCTCCCTAGTTCTCAACTCCTGGCTGTGAAAGCCCGAGGGGAGGATTTTGTGAAGGATTCCCTACGGAGAAGTCGGGGTGTCCTCTCTTCGTGTGTGGGCGGTCAGCCTGTCTTTCCCTTGAGAGCACGGGGATCCCCATTTTAAGAAGTTGTCTGCATTCAACTGTTAAGGCAGCCAGCGGAAGTTTCCTGCTTAGGACACCTCAGGGCTCCCTTCGCGTCCTTTGAAGACAAGAGAGAGAAAAATGCTGGGTGGAGGCGGTGATTGACCTACTTGCACTTCCTGGGAAATATCTTGTAAAGGATCTCGAATGCTTATAGGGGACCAGGCGCAGGGACGGGATGAAATGAGGGTGCGAGGGGACTCTGGGGAACGGAATGAAGTTACCAGAGCCGTGGGTGGAGGTCGGTGGCAATATGGGTCCTATCTCCTCTCCTGATTCCAAGAGGTACTACTGGGAGAAGAGGAGCATGGAATATGCGGTAGTGTCTCATCTCAGTGTAGACGCTTACTGGGGATCCAAGCAATCCCTTCTGTTCTGACTTCCCACGCCTTCCGCCTAGCTCCCAGTCACATCGAGGACTCCTTCAGGCTCACCAGCCCAGTAGGGCGTAGGCAGCTGCCGCGATTTCAGTCCCCAGTGAGTTTGCCAGCGAGTATGATAGAGGTCTGGGAAGAGATTCTGTGTCTGCCAGTGGCGCGCGGGCGGGTCCTGCAGAAAGAACTTGTTGCTCCGGGGGGAGCGTGGGTGGAGTAGGGAAGAGATGGCGCCACCTGAGGGTTCGCCTGCTGTTGCCTTGGCCCAAGGTCTGGGGGCCAGTGCAATAGTACCTCTACCACAGCAGGCAAAAAGACCCTCCTCCCTTTACCCTCAAAATTCTGCAGGACCTAAGCCTAAGGAGTCATTTTAAAACATCATAATGATTATTATTAGCTGACAAATATAAGGCACTTTTATGTACTGGACTCCCTACATATATTCTTAGTTAATTTGTACCAGTCTGAGGAGACTACTCTTACGATTGACCCTATAATGCTGATAAGGAAATGGGTTCGGACAGAAGCTGCAGATAAAAACCGCCTAGAATTTAAACCCAGGACTTTCAGAGAGGAAACCCATACTCTTTACGCCCTAGTACACACCAAACAAAGTTAGGTGCTGTGTTGGTTGTGCTGGACTTGGCAGTATGCTGAATGGATATAGTGTCAGGCTCATAGTTCTTGAAGGAAAAGGGAGTTTCAGTTGACTCAGAAATGCCTGTCACCCCCACCCCCATGCACTTTCTTATAGTGTGACAGATGTATATTCTTGGTTAATTCTCTCCTCTTTGCTTCCCCCTTTGAAAATATGCCCTTAGGATATGACCCAAAAAGCTATCAAATTTCAGTGTAGATGAAACTGATAGAAATGAAGATTTCTTCTCCAGGAGGATTTTTTTGTAAAGAGATGATAAATAGTTGCAATGAGGGATTCACAATTTTGATGATGGACTATAAACAAGGTGGTGTGGAAACAATCCCATCATAGATGAAACATCTCCAAATACATGTACCTTAACATCTCAGGGAGCTTGTACTTGGGGGCAAAATCAAGGATGACAGATGCCTAGGCCTCTTTCTTCCCCATTTCTTCTTGGAGAGCACAGCTTCAAACAAACAAATCCAATCTCTTAGTAATCTAGTTCTGCTATAACCACGGAATAGCAGAAGTGATTGCTTTTGTAAACCAGGCATTTATTTCTCACAGCTTTGCAAGTTAGAAGTTTGAATTCAGGTCACTGACTCCAGGGGAAGGCTTTCTATGTCCTCTCTGGGTGAAAGTCCTTCTCTAACTTGTTTCCAGGTTCCTTGAGGATTTCTATGAGGAGTGGCATCAATCTTCTCCCATTTCTGCTTTTCAGCTTTCTTGTTTCGTTTATTTTTTATATCAAAGAGAATGGACTCAAGATATGTTGTTATTGTTGTTAAGTGCCATTGAGTTTGTTCCAACTCACAGTTACCCTGAATAGAGTTCCAAAGGAGTGGCTGTTGAGTTTGAACAACCAGCCTGGGGTTCAAACCAGCATACCAACCTAGTGGTTGAATGCTTATCCTTCAGTGCTGTCTCATTTAAATCACAAAGACAATCCATTCCCAAACCAGGGGCATAGTACTTAAGACTTACAAAGCATATTTTGAGGGTACACATTTATATCCATAGCACTATCTCTCTCCTTAACCTTTTAGGTTGTTGTTGCTAAGTGCCTTTGAGTCAGTACTGACACAGTAGAACCTCTTTATCAAGTCCAGTGAATTTTGCCTTGGTAACTGGTGTGGTGCTGTGGGTTAATGCCCCAGACTGCAAAGTCAGTTTGAACTGCAAGGTTGGTGATTCAAGCTTACCAGTCACTCCTCGGAAATCCTCTACAGGGTTGCTATGGGTTGGAACCGACTTGACGGCACTTAACAACAACAACAACAACTAACAGTAAAAAGAAGTCTAGGGCAAAATACTTATGTCTGATGAGTCTTTGCCTGGTGTTACTTCTGTCTAGAATAAGCCCTGCTTTCCTTAATCCATTTATCACCCATCTTCAAAACCAAAATCCAAATTCCTGATTTTATGAACCACAATGAGTTTTCCTTTCTCCAAATCTCTGTGGGACCAATAGGCAAAGCCTTGGCTACATAAACTAGTATGTCCCATCACATATTCTCTAGTCATTTCAGGTGTGTACGTGAATATGGCTGTAGTATATTGTCTTTCTACTTAAAAGGTAAATATTCAGGTATGGTATACTCCATATCTCTCATTTTATCACTTAACCAGTACAGTACTAGGAATACTAGCCTTTGAGGAAACATTCTGTCTTATTTTTGTCATTTTGTTCTGACTTTTGTCATCTTTTTCATTTGCCTTGCATTTTAAACCCCAGCCTCTTCTCTTACGCCTGTCCTTTAGTATGCCTCCTTACCTTCCTACTGCCTTATTCTTTTTAGTACTCAATGGCAGACACCAAAATTTCTCCATAATTATTTAGTCATGCAAATGAAGAGTTCATTACATAGACTAGAAGAAACTATTTTACCAAGTTATCTCATTCTAATCTCACAAATTTATATGAGATAGAAATGATTGATAAAAGCCCTGTATCTTGGAGGAAAACATATTAAGGCTGCAAGTGGCTAAGTATATCTGGAAAGATTTAAAATGAAATCTGTCAGACCTAAAGTAATTGTTCATTTTTTACATTGTTCTGCCCCCATAAAACCTTCCTTGGCATCCTAGAACACTGCCTTGGAGTCACCATCTTACAGTCCTGACATTTTCCTTCCTTTCTTTTTTTTTTTTTTTCACTGTTTTTCCAAATAATTAACACTTATTTAGCATTAACACATAAATCTATGTAATTTAAAATTTGTTGGTGTTTGTCCTACTTCTTCAAGAAAATAACCAATGTGCTATCTGGTAGCATAGTGGTTATGAATTGGGCTGTGAACTGCAAGGTCAGCAGTTCGAAACTACCAGCTGTTCCACGGGAGAAAGATGAGGCTTTCTGCTCCCGTAAAGATTTATAGCCTCGGAAACCCTGTACAAGGTCGCTATGAGTCCGAACCGACTCCACGGCACATAACAACAACAATAAATCTAGCACAGTGGGCTGTATATGAGGTATTCAATAAATATTTGATAATTATGATTCTTAACTCTTACAAGATTATGAACAGACATTTCCTCACAAACGTATGTTGAGATTAATGTATACAATTTTATCAGTACCTGGTCTAATGACCAGTGCAAGTAAATTTATGATCATGATAAAACTGGTATTAAAAAAGTGCTTTAAAATGGTTAATATTTTAAATATTTCTAAATAAATACTAATTTTACTTATATTAAAAAAAATTATTTATTGAGAGTTGGTCCAAAACTACAGAAGTATAGTTAAAGTAAAAATTTAAAAACTAAAACTAAAAATTAGGGGGATTGTGTATTTTTTTTTTCCATGTAAGACTTATATTGAAAATTTTACACAAGCTCAATCCTATGACTATTCTTAGGTGTGATTATTTAGCAATTTTTTTTTTTTAAATCTAGTAATGCTTGTGCTATCAAATAATTGAAGAATTATTTCCTGGTCTTTTATTTTTTGTTTTTTGTTTTTTTAAGTATGATATAATTTAAGAGAAGTCCTGGTAAGGCACTGTAGGATAAGCATTGAACTACTAACCACAAAGTCATTTCTTGGAAACCATATATAGGTAACTATAAGTCAGAACCAATTTGACGGCACTTAACAATAACAACATAACAACGTAAGCTTGATAAATGTTCATAAACTAACCATACATGTGTAACTAGCACCCAGATCACGAAGCATA